TCCTGGGCTGGTGGAGGAGCGAGAGAGCGACTGAGAGAGGAACGAGGAGGGAGGAAACTGAAGCCGCTGAGCCGGAGAGCAGGACAGGCTTTGGTTGCTTCCTCCCTCCCCTTCTTTCATTTGTGTCCTTGATCCCTGATCCCAGCAGCATTCACCGAAGGCGAAGAAAACCGCCATTTTTATTTTATTTTTATTTTCTTTGCGGCCCGGTACCAAATGATCCGCCCGGTGGTTGGGGACCCCTGTTTTAGAGTATCCTTCCCCTGCCACGCCCACCAAGCCACGCCCACCAAACCATGCCACACCCATCAAGCCATGCCCACAGAACCAGTAGTAAAAAAAATTGAAACCATTGGGTCCATACAGCTTGCCACAGCTTGTGGGTTTATCCAACAAATTCTGGCTTTATCACAAAAGTAATTAAGATATTGAAGGACTTGGAAACCAAGGAATGCTCAACAGATTTCAGTATGGTTAAGCTACAGAAGAGATGACTGTAAGGAGAAATAACATAAGTCTTCAAGGAAAGGGACTTATTCTGTTGCCCAAAAGAGCAGGACCAGAACCTGGGTTAAAATAACAAGAAGATTCAGGATGGACATCAGAAAAAGCTTCTTGACTGTATGAGCTGTGAACCAGTGATAGAGACTGATATATGTTCTCCTTCACTAAGGTCTTCAAGTGGAGGCTGGATGACCACATCTATTGTGGATGCTGCACCAAACGGGAATGGAGATGAGCACTGACATTGATTTAGTTTTTGGTTTGTTCTTTTTTTTCTGCAATGATGCTTGCCTTTGAATATTGGAAATAAATTGGCCTGAATGATGATAGTGGTGGAAATGTCTATTGATCCATTTCTCCACATCATTATCTCATTATATATATTACGCTGCCTCTTTGAAATTCAGCACAGCAAACATCAGTCCTGCTTTCCATAAAAATACTCATAATAATCCTGAGGGAAGGATTGTCTGAAACAGTGCCAAAGCTGTTTTTTCAGGGGGCAACTGGACTTTTTTCTTTGAAGACATTTCGCTTCTCATCCAAGAAGCTTCTTCAGTTCTGACTGGATGATGGAACATGGAAGGATTTATATTCCTTGCAAACAGCTGGTCATTTACATTCTTTTTAAAGAGTTGTTGAGGCCACTTGGACGTTTGTTTGTGTCCTCAGGGTCACTGGAGTAGTGCAAATGGGTGTGGAGCAGGGGTGGGATTCAAAATTTTTAATAACCGGTTCTGTGGACATGGCTTAGGTGGTGGGCATGGCTTGGTGGTCATGTTATTGGCTGGGCGTGGCCAACTCAATATCACTCACATGGAGGCACGCATCTCCTCACCTGGCCCCTCATGACTGTGGGGATGCTGCAATAGTCGTAAGTGTGAAGTCACTTTTTTCAGTGCCATTGTAACTTTGAATGGTCACTCCACACAAGCAAAGTACCAGCAAAGGAGGGAAAAGGGAGCAAATAGGTGCGAACCTGTAGAATCCCACCCCTGGTGTGGAGCTTTCTTAGAACTGCTGAAAAGGACTGTGTTGTGGAGCTATGCTTTCTGTGGGACTTTTCTGTGCTGTGTCACACGCTTTGAATTATGTGGGAATATGAACGGATTTCCAGAAAAATTACAGACTACAAGAACTATTTGAGCTTCAGTTTGAGATGAAGACAATGCAGACTCATCCCCAACAGTTTGCACTTGTGTTCAACAGTGCAGGGACACAGGGCAGAAAATATCCTGCAGAAAGCACAGCTCTAACTTCTCAGTGAAAGAATCGGGAGGATATGTCATCTATCTCTAATGTACAACACAGTCCTTTCAGCAGTTCCAAGAAGGCTCCACACCCATTTGCACCACTCAGGTGACCCTGAGGACACAGACAAAGTCTCACAGACAAACTCTCTAAAAGAATTCAAATGACCATCTGTCTGCAGGGAATATAAATCCTTCCATTCTCCACCATCCAGTCAGAGCTGAAGAAGCTTCTTGGATGAGAAGCAAAACGTCTTCAAAGAAAAACAAGAAAGTCCAGTTGCCTCTTGAAAAGAAAAGCACCGCTGGGACAACCACAACTTGGATGATTGAGAATCTCCATAGATACTTGCCAATGAATTTCCTCTCTCTTAGGAAATCAATTCTTTTGATTTCCCCCCCACACTTTTCATCAGTTGTAGAGGCCTGAGGGTTGTTTTCCAGCAGGAGACAAGAACTGTAGCTCTTATCCTATCTATTCTTATTTAAGGCTTGACACACCCACACAAGGGCCTGGAAGGAAGCCACATCTTTAATTGTACAGGCGTGTGTGCTGTGTCTCACTTAGCAGGAGCCCTTGTATGCCATCTGAGAGGAAGGAGGAGGGAGGGAAAAGACGCATGAGGACATCCAGTTCTAAGCATCATACTTGCTGTGCTGCTGGTTGGCAAAAACTGAGTCAACAAAAGCGAGCAAGACAGGACTGGAGGTTGGAGGAGACTTTGGCAGAGGTCCTCATATCTCAGCAGAGAGATGGAACTGATATGGTTCTCCCAAGTTGATGACAGCAGTGAGGGGAGTTGGAGGAGCTGCTGGACAAACCCAAAAATGGATGAGGCCACCCAGTTTCTCTCTCTGACCTGACATCCATCTTTCCTTTCCTTTCCTTTCCTTTCCTTTCCTTTCCTTTCCTTTCCTTTCCTT